CACTGGCGGTAGCCATTAAATATATGGGTGGTATAGGGGTTATATAGGGCTCACATAGGGTTTACGGTCTTAACCTTGAACCCACTTCCGGCCCACTATAGTCCTCACTGAGATGCATTGGCCCCTCCATGCTTTCAAAACACTAGGCCCGCAGAACTCGCCCCCAACACTCCTGCCAGCAGAACGAAGAAATCTCAAAGTGTGACTGATAATTATAACATATCTTAATCCTGCTGACCTAGACATGCTTGATGCGCTTAGGTGCAACAGTGCGGATGGCGAATAACATCTCATCCGCCAACGCAGCGGCCTGTTGACAACAACACACTCCGAACTTGAATGACTGGGTTGCTGTTAAGGAATTTGACTCAAGTTACGAAAATGGGGGAACCATGTCAATTACAAAACAAACCCATTCTGATACCTTCATTTCAGTTCCTGAATAGCAACCCCCTTGACGAAAGGCTTTGAAGGGCAATGTTGCTTCCTTCTGACTTGGAGGAGCACCGGGTTGAGGATTTGTGTAGGGGTTGAGGTTCAACAGATTGCCTTCTCACTGCTGAATCTCGTGGATGGGCATGTTACGAGTTGGTCTAGACTCTGAATTAGCTATATATTCCCAGTTTCCATTTCATTTTCCATTTTCTTTTCCATTTGATTCTCCATTATAGTAGTTTCCATTTTCTTTTCCATTATCCCAAGATTACCCTAAACCCTCAACCCTTAACCCTAAACCCCAATATAACCCCAATATACTTTGATTTGAAAACCCCTTCAGCTCAAGCGCTGCCATCCAAGCTCTTGCCCTTCAATCCAGCCATCTTCCTATCCAAATATAATGGGGATATAGGGGGTTTAGGGTTTAGGGTTTAGAGGGTATATTGGGGTGATATTGGGATAATGGAAAAGAAAATGGAAACCCTAGGTCCCTTTAAAGGGATATATAGGGTTATATGGGGGTAATATTGGGATAATGGAAAATAAAATGGAAACTACTATAATGGATTGTAGGTATCGTGGTTCCTTTACTTAATATCACATGTGCGAGCTTTGGGGTTTAAGGAGCTGCGTTTTTTTGCGCGGAAAACATTAGTTAGAGACCTTTTTCTCCCTAGTGAGTTCCATGAGGGCCATACTTTGAATACCCGGTGTGTCTGGAACTCACATTGCAAAGGTGCTGCACACGGACATGAGAGCTAAAGCTCGTGGCGAAGTCTACCCTGCGACCTTCCCTCAACGCCTGCACTCCATTTGAGCCATAGTTTAAACTTCTAGTATGCCGCTTTAAGAACCAATGTAGTAGTCCCCTAGATAATCCCTTATATTACCCCCCTGACGGAGTTTGAATTATGGCCCATTTTGCAACGCACCAAATATAGGTCTGAGCGCGTTAAATCACATACCCGAGGCCCTGGGCATTATGTTGAGAACCGCACAGAAAACATGGCTAGGGCTTAAGGTTTAGAGTTTGGTAGCTGATCGAAATTCTTGCTCCCAAAATGGCCACCATGCAAATAAATTCCCCCCCCCCGTATTTGCTCTCATAGACCTACAGGACGCCAAAGTAACTTCCCCAAAGGACCTTTGGATCAACACGCATAGAAACGCGCTACCAAAACAGCACGGGGCCTTTTCGTAAGGTCCTTGCACTTCATTCCTGGCACACAGGGAACAATGCTCGCAAATTTTGTCAGACCCTAAACCCTAAACCCTAATTCTGCAGATGATGAGCTCCGTTCGGCTATGCATTTGGGTGGTTGTCAAAGTTATGGTCCCTTTTTGGGTACCCTAAATATTAGGTGTTATACTAGGGATCCAAAAAGGGACCATAATTTTGACAACCACCCACATATAGCACTGCACCTCTTATTTAGAGGTACCAAATTGGACCGTACATTTACGGAACTACCCATGTACCGATCCCACAGTTGGCACTGTGGCTCTGCAGCTGCCTTTACTCAGCACGCTCAGCCTTCTGAAGTCCCACGCTTCTCTAACTGGGGATAAGTGGGGAATAAGGGAACATATCATATGGGGAGTATATAGGAATCATATTCCCTTATTCTCCACTTACCCCGAATAAGTTATGATGGACAGAGAGGGCTCGCCTTGTTTCTTCAACCCGCATTTTGGGACAGAGTCTTGGGAGACGCCTTTGGCGTCCTCAGTCAGGCTTAAAAGACTTAGCGCGTAGCGCCAGCTAGACAAGTCATCATCGCGTGGCTACCGGCGACGGGGACCGCGCGCGGTTCATAATCAAAACTGATTCGCCATCATTGGTGCTGTTGCACTTCGCCCGGAATTCTGCATCCTTCTGACGGACTCGCACTCGCACGAAGAGCGGCTGGCCTGTCATTGCTTCAGCACAATGCTTCAAGGTCCAGAGCCTGCGATTCGACAAAGATCGCCAGTATCCCTCGTGCCACACAACATCTAGCGGCTCTATCTCACGTAGAGGGTCCACCTTGGAAACACCACAGGGAGGCACGTGCTGCAAGCAAACCTTCAACAGATATTTGCAAGAAGTAGGCAGGGAGCGCTTAGCAAAGATTTTGCAAGGAACGGATTCACTATCGGAGCAGCTACTTATGTGCAGCAGCTGTGAGTGGTTGCACTTCACCCAACACGTAACAATGCCTTCCACAACTTGTACCCAGCCATTAGTGACAACAGTGTACAGAGGCTACCAACCTGGCATTTTCAGAACTCACAGCAGCAAAATGTGAAGGGTACAGGCCGTGCAAAGTCTGTTGAAGCCAAGGTACTGCTTTTGAGTTCAGGTCGTTCATCAGCTGAAAGATGGGGCGCCCGTCGCGGAACGTAGGGCTGATGCTGTCTTGCGTGAACCTCAGAACGCAAGCTATATCCAGTAGCCTTTCGCTCAAACAAAGGGACTTTGCACATAGCTTGCATGGTTCCCAGATGAGATTCGATGCCTCTACCCCAGCATGACTGCGGAACCTACACTCCATTTTTCTATTCTCCTTTCCATTATCCCTTTATACCCCTATACTATACCCATATATTCCCATATTCCCTACTAACCCTGGTGCTAGATCAAACATGCAGACCTTACCAGTGCTCAGGGCGGAGCGGAGGGTGAATCCCTACAATGATCCTAAAGTAATCCTGTATTATACCGGATCGTAGGCTGGAGGGTTCCGTAGGGTTTTTGGTTTTGGGTTTAGGGGTTTAGGGGTTGAGCGCTTAAGGTTTTGGGGCATCTTCCACGCTTGGATTCTCAAAGTCTTACGCCCACGGCGAGCCTCAACTTTCTTGGATCCATCTTTCGCTCCACACGGAAGAAGTCTGTGCCTGCCTGACAGAACTGGCGCTGGGTGAGCATTTAGAAGGAACTGGTTGTCCAGTACTTGGAGGGTCAGAGGGACTTAGTAAGTAGATTAAAAACCCCTATAACCCATGTAGTAACCCTAACTATCCCCATTATTAACCCAGTTATTAAATCCCCCTGACCCTCCAAGTAAGCACAATAAGCACAGCTGAAATGCCCAGGTTTCTGTTCTGCACGTGCCTGTGAAGAGGCTTCCTGAAAGAGGAGCTGCTCTTCTGCGGGGATTGACAGCCTGAGTAGCGGTTTTTTTTGTGGTTGAACCTAGTAAGATTATATTCCTTATATAAAATACTATACCCCAAAAGGAGGATAGAATCTTACTCTATAACGGGTACCATAGTACCCCCATATAAAATACTACTCACCTGTGCTGGACAATCGCATGCATGCATGCTGGCAGGGCTCGGGGTCTTCAACTTACAAGAGCAGAAAAGACGTTGGGCTTGCTGCAGCGTTGCTGTTCCCTTTTCATGATGCCTGATGCTCACGTAAAACTACGCAGTTTCTGCTCCTGCAAACAAGAGCCCAAATGTGTGGGGGATGGGGTGTTGGAGGGTATTTCATGTTTGGGAGAAGTGTCTAACCTGAACCTTGCAAGCCCAAAAGCTGGTCGGCAATGCCCTTCACAACTTCCTCGTGGGTGGTATATGATAATAAGATTTTGATGCCGCCAGGCGCATGCACGACCGTCTTCCTGCAATCCTGGCCGTAGGGTTTAAGGTTCAGGGATAAGACTTCGCATCTAAGTTGTCCGGGGCAAGAAAGCCTATGCACGGGTCCCTGAGCCATTATGACTCCTTGTCCTGATGTCTGCAGGCCACAGGGAGTGGAATCAAACAAATGCCATGAATCAGAAGGAAATGTTGATTCACATGAAGCTATCTTAGAGACGCTATCCTCCCACAAAAAGGAATGCTTGGCTGCATGAACGCTATCACACTTTGCACAAGACACGCTCACGCCCTTTGCAGGCGTCGATCAGGAACGCAAGAAGAACAAGACCAATCAGTCAAGAAGAGCAAGCTAAAAGAGGTTCGCACGAAGCTCGTGCACAAGCCTTAAAGCCAAGCCGAGCCCCACAAATCCAAAAAAATGATTCTCTCTTTTCTGCTTGAAGAACCATGTCAGCATGTCCTTCTCAGGGCTCGGGGGACGCTCTGCCGTGGTGGAGCCTGGCGATCGCCCTCCCTCTGACTGCAGCGAGCTGGATGAAGCATGGCTTGCACCTGCGGGTTGGAGGCAAGGAGCAAAAATGGAGAATCAAATGGACAAAAAGTCAAATAAAAAACGGAATTTGAATTCTGCAGTGGTAAATTGGACGGGCTACATGAGGAGACGGAAAGGTGTATAGGGAAATATAGGTTTTTGACTTCTAAGAAATGAGGCTCCAGAAATGGGGGTCAGGATCGCTGGGGACAGTCGAGTTTAGGGACAAGCTCCAAGCAAGCTCGGAAGTTCAAGGTCATGGAGCATGACCCACTAGCATCCACTAGCCCATTACGTTGAGGAAAGTGATAGCAAATGTGAGAATTTCCTACACAGGTTGCTGATGAGAACTCGCATGTCCAGTCTACTTACCCTAAACCCTATACCCTAAGCCCTAAGCCCTACACCCACATTAACCCTTTACCCTAAGCCTGAAACCATACACCCCTATACCCTAAGCCCTAGACCCTAAGCCCTAGACCCTAAGCCGCAAACCCTAAGCCCTAAACCCTAAACCCTATACCCATTACTCAAAATCAGGCCGGGCGTAGGAATCAACTCAGCAGTAATTTCCCCCAGCACACATTTCCCCGCTGTCCAAACTTCAGACCCCATGACCCTCCAAGCATTCTCAAACTCCTACAACCCTTAAAAGCCCAAGCCGTGAACCCTAGTCCCCGCCACAAAACGAATCCAAAACACCTTCAAGACATTCAAACCTTAGACAGTGTAAACCCTCAACCCTGCCCGTTTGTGTCTATATATATACATATATACACATACACCCCCCATAGAACCCCTATAACCCTCCTTTTACACCCTAAACCCTACACCCTAAATCCCAGACCCTAAATCTCATGCCTGAGCCAGGGAAGCTTCCCTGGAGCGGCTGCTCGGCGCACATAGCCTTTGCGGACAGGCTGTCCTAGGTTGCACGGGGGGGTTAGGCTTTGGGGTTCAAGTTTGGGGTTCAGAGTTAAGGGTTTAGGGTTCAGGGTTTAGGGTGTAGGGTTTAGGGTTCAGGGTTTCGGTTTAGGGTTCAGGGTTTAGTTAGGGTTTAGGGTGTAGAGTTTGGGGTTTAGGGTTTAAGGTTGGAGTTTGAGATATAGGTATACTATATAGTGGTTATGTATAAGGATTATATAGGGATAGTGGAGAGGAAAATGGAAGCTACAATGTGAGGCTTTGGGTGGTTTAGGGCTTAGGGGATATTACCCTA